GGAGTGTGAGTAGGGACCCGGGGTGCACCTCCTCTGGTTCTCTGTCTTTAAAGAGTCAGAGTCTTTTGGGGGGCAGTAGTGTGTGTGTGTGTGTGTGTGTGTGTGTGTGTGTGCTGGGAACTCAGGGCGTGCGTGAATGCCGTCTCTGAGCTTTTTCATTCAAGCCTGGTGCTGTACCACTTGAGCCACTACTCCACTTCCGGCTCTTTGGTGGTTAAAATTGGAGATAAGAGTCTCATGGACTTTCCTGCTTTTGAACTTTGATCCTAGATCTCAGCCTCCTGAGTAGCTGGGATTACAGCCATGAGCCACTGGTGCCCAGCTAAGTATACGAGTTTGAATTTAATGCTTGCTAGGCCAGAAGTCTAACCTCTTTGGCTTTAGTTACGATGTCTCGCTCTCCATCCGGTCCCCTGTCCTTACCCCGCCCCGCCCCTTTCTTGGTTTCTTGGGGATCTGGCTAACTTTTTATGCTGGCTGGCCTGGGACTGTAATCCTCTGAATCTCCACCTTCCAAGTAGTTGGGATTACAGAGGTGCGCTACCATGCCCAGCCTTTGGGCAGCATTTTGGGGATGGGAAGAGGCTGCTGAGCAACAAGATTTGGGCAACATTTCGAGAAAGGATGAAGGGAAGGGGGAAGGCGTGTCCATAGATTGGGGCGTGGGGGTGGGCGGAGTCTGCCAAAGCTGGGCTGAAGACTGGGAGGAGGGACCAATGGTCCAACTGAAGAAAAAGCGACTCCTCCCCCTTACTGCCCAAGCATGGACTAAACCTTTCCTCTTGGCCTTGGGATGCAGCAAAAGATTACATAGCGACCAAAGATGGATCTTAGCCAGGCCAGGCGCAGGTGACTCACACCTTTTAAATCCTAGCTCCTCAGCAGTCTGAGATCTGAGGATCACAGTTCAAAGCCAGCCTAGACAGGAAAGTTCTGTATGACTCTTCTCTCCAATTAACTACCCACAAAAGTCAGAAAAGGAGATGTGACTGAAGTGGTACAGCACTAGCCTTGAGCACAAAAAGGCTGTGGGGGGAAGGGGGGCAGTGCCCAGGCCCTGAGTTCAAGCCCCAAGACCCGCCTCCTCCCCTCTTCTCCCCCCTGCCAAAAATCAGTCTCTTAGAAACCCCAAAGATCTGTACGGCCCTCTTCTAGACGCACCGGCGCTGGACAGTGTGGGCTGCCCCGAACGCCTTACGTGGCTGGAAGGAACAGAAGCGTCGCTGAGCTGTGTGGCCCAGGGGGTCCCGCCGCCCCACGTGAGCTGCGTGCGCCCCGGGGAGGTGGCCAGGGTCGAGGGGCCCCTGCGGGTCGCCCGGGAGCACGCGGGCACCTACCGCTGCCAGGCCACCAACGCCCGAGGCGCAGCAGCCAAGAACGTGGTTGTCACCGTGGAATGTGAGCATCGCGGTGCGGGGTCCCGCGGGGACCCATCCCGGCCGCCCGGGGCTCCCTGCCGGTCCCCTGAGCCGGCCTCTGCCTTCCTTGGTCCCCAGATGGCCCTCGTTTTGAGGAGCTGAGCTGCCCCAGCAACTGGACCTGGGTGGAAGGATCTGGAAAGCTGTTTTCCTGTGAGGTGGACGGGAAGCCGGAGCCAAGCGTGGAGTGCGTGGGACCCGAGGGTGCCCGGGACGGGGTGGCGCTGCCGCTGGCCTCCTCCAACCCCGAACCCCGGAACCCCGGGAGCCCCAGCGACCCGACGCCCGGCGTCTACCTCTGCAACGCCACCAACCGGCACGGCTCCGCCATCAAAACCGTCGTCGTGAGCGCGGAGTGTGAGCGGGGCCCAGATGGGCGAGGGAGTAAGAGGGGGACCCCCCCCCCGCTTCCCCCACCCCAACACCTCTCTC